TAAAAGCTTCATCTTCTTCATTTTTCAAAAACCTAAACACTAAAAACTCCGGCCGTTCGACCCCTCTCACCCTCCAATCTCTATTCTTGCTCAAAATCTTCGGGAAAACATTGGATTCTTCAAGATTTTCATCCTACAAACCCGCTACAATCATTAAATCGCACAAAACAACTCCTCATTCCCCTCAATCCGAATCTTTCAAGGTATTTTTACAAAAACTCTATTTTATTAATTTTTGAAATTAGGACTAGTTTAGATTAGTTCTAGTTTGAAATAATTATCGGACATTGGTTGTATGATGATTCTAAACTAGTTTCTACAACAAATTTCATCAAAAACACATAATTTTTCAAAATTATTTTTCAATTTCGAATTAAAAAAAAATTCGAAAATTAAGTGAAAATTTTGATTTAATTGTGTTGTTTTAATGAAAACTATACATATTATGATATTAATTTCAAATAGTTTTCAAAACTTTGCCCATTAGGATTATGTTAGAGAACCTTGAATTATTGAGGACTCATTTGAGTTTTGGGATTAATTGTTGTGCATACATGTGTTTTAAAAATTGCAGGTGATATTCCTTTTCCGATTTCCTTTACCATGTCAAATCCTAAACGCCCTAGGTCATCCTCTAGTCGGTCTCACCAAAATCGTCCTCCCGTTCCTCAACATCCTAATCCCGTTCCTCCTCCACCTAATCCCGATCCTCAAGCTCCTAATGGCTTATTGAGTGTTTGTTTCAATATGCCAGAGCGTCGTAGAAACGAACTATATAATAGATATATTGAGTCATTCCAATCCTATAGAATTCGGGAATAACGTATTCCCTCACTTCAAGCTATGACCAAAATTGAATTTGAATACCTCTCGATTCTTAGAAGATGGAAGTTTGATAAACTCTTTTCTCTTCAACCTATCGTCTTCCATCAACTTGTCCGTATTTTTTATTCAAATGCGGTATGTATTCAAAATGAAACCCAATGTGGAACCATCGGAATTAGATCCTATCTTTTAGGACAATACATTGTTGTTGATTCCGCAACAATTGCTCCTAAATTCGGGTTAGATGATGATGGTGTTTTTGACGAAAAAGAGAATGTGAATTATCCCTATATCCCTCATGCGAGTGTCAGTTCCCTTAGGACTCATCACGACCGTTTTCTTCACTTCATTATTTCTTGGTGGTTTAGACCATCGACTGGTCGTTACTCCACTCTTCGCAATAGGGATTTGTGGTGGATGTATTGCCTTAAGAATAAAATCAAAATAAATCTACCACAGATTATTTTCAGTCAATTAGTAGACATCGTTAACATTGTCCCTTCTAAACATGTTGAAACCTTAGCATACGGTTGTCTACTTAGTAACCTATTTATCAAACTTGGTTTAAACGTTTCTCTCGACACTCCTATCCCTCTCCAAAATCAAATCAACCTACATCTTTAAAGAAAGCGGATTGGATTCAAGATGAGCGAACTGGTCTTTGGGTCTTTCGACCCAATAAGCCAACTTCGGGAGCTAGTTCTTCTCGTGCTCCTCCTCCTCCTCCAGCTCCTGACGCTGACGATGATCCAGAGCTTCAAAGGCTTATGAGAGATATTGATGAGGAAGTACCAGATGTTGAGCCTGCACCAGAACCAGCTCGGCAAGATGATCAAACGCCACCTTATTTCCGATCTTTTCTAGAGTCGTTTGATCTGCGTTTTGCCTCCATTGAGTCTACGATTACTGAGTTTCAGAGGGAGATGCGTGATTGTATGGATGCTCTGACTCTTGAAGTTCGAGCTCATTATCCTCCTCCTCCCGATCCTCCGATGGAGTAGACTTACTTGCCATGCTTTCTTGTTTTTAAAAACTTGGATTGATTTTGATTTTTGTGGTTTGTTTGGTACTTTGAATTTGATTGGTTGTTGGATGTTTGTTTTTTTATTTGGATGTTTGTTTGTGGATGATTGAACTTAATATATATATTTGGTTTGTCATTTTAAAGCTTTATGTTTATTATTATTTGCATCATTAGATATATGACCAATTATGCCATTTCACATTTTGTTATGAATATTGTTTATGAAACCTAATGGCTAATCTCTCTTTTGATTGTGCTTTTAGCAGCTTATTATTAATAAATCAATTGGCTAACGTTTTTCAAAATCCTTGTTTAAAACGTTTTTATAGAGTCTTTTTGATTTAACAAAAAGGGGGAGAAAATTTAAGATGTGCTATAGTAAGGGGGAGTAAGTTTTTCAAAATCGATTTCAAAAATAATAATTTCTTAAACAAATCTTAAAATTACTCAAATGTTTTGTTATATCAAAAAGGGGGAGATTGTTGAAAACATTTTTGATATTTCGATATAACAAATTAAGTTAAATGAATTTTAAGATTTTACAAATGATTTTACAATTTTATATTCGATTCAATTAACCGAATATCAAATTATTACTCCAAGGTTTTCAAGATCAATTTTAATCCTTACTAAAAGTGTAAAATTGTGATTTGTACTTAAACTATTTTTGAAACAATTTTCACAAAGTATTTTGAACCAAAATCAAGCCTAAATTCAATTATTTAAAGTGATGCACTGATGCATCAACCATGCATCGATGCATTAGTGAATTCATTGAACATCGAATGCATTCCATGCACCGATGCATTCTCCATGCATCGATGCACTCTGAATATTTTCAAAACATCGAATGCATTTGATGCATCGATGCACAAGCCATGCATCGATGCACTCATGCTATTTTCAAACATCGAATGCATTTCATGCATCGATGCACACTTGGTGCACCGATGCATCCAGTGTTCCAACGGTCAAAATATTTGAATTTTACACTGATGCACCGATGCATCCTTCATCATGCATCGATGCATGAGACGCTCCACCCAGAAAATTAATTGTTTTCACACTTAAACGGCTCTATTATCTCCACTAATTATCACCAACGTTCAGAATTTATTCAAGGGGTATTTAAACAAGTTCTGGAGCCATTGATCAACAACAAGAAACATCAAGCAACTAGAATCAAGAGAGAATCAAAGAGAAAGCATCAAACCTCAAGTTTGAGGATTTCAAGCCAATTTTTCATTCAATATTCATTTTGCTTTCAAGAACACTTTTGTACTCAATTGTATTTATCTTTGAGTGTTCTTTTCTTTGTTCTAGAATTGTGCAAACAATCTACCTTGTGAGGATTTCCTTGTAAGTTTGCAAATTTGTATTGTTCTCTTTGGGAGATAGTTTTCTCAAGAATTTGGGGTATAATTCTTGAGAGTTTGTAAGGTTACTCTTTGTCCTCAAAAGAAAGACAAATTAGTGAATTTGTGGAAAATCCTTAGTGTGGATAGCTAAGGTAGTGGACGTAGACTTTGGTTGAGAAAGTCGAACCACTCTAAATCGTTGTGCAAATCTTTTCAATTTTCTGCAAAAGCTTCCACCAAAATTTTTAGTGCCAATTCACCCCCCTCTTGGCTGATTCCGACGATCGATTAACTCAACAAATTGTTTCGAAACATAAGTCATAACTTTGCCCTGTTACATAATTACACATCCTAAACCATTATGAGATACATTATTGTAATTCACATAGTTTTTACTTGATTCTGGTTGCACTAGAATTGGTTCTTATGTCATAATGTTCTTTAAATGTATAGAAAATTTCTTAACATATTTTAATCCAAATAAATGATATATCTTTTATAAGTAGCTTAGTAAATAGAGAAGCAACCATCGAGAGATTCTTCACGAATCTCTAATAATAGCCAGTTAATCCTAAGAAACTTTAAACTTCAGAGACATTTTCAGAGTTTTGTACTCCACTGTCATTTATACTTCTTGGAATCAACCCTAAATCACTTTTACTAAAATCACATGGCCAAAGAAGACAACATTTAGTAACCATAATTCATACTTTGACAACTTAACATTAGGTATTTTATCCAGCAATGTCTTTAATACAATGCGAAAATATACATAATATTCTTCTTTAATCTTGGAATAAACTAAAATATCTTCAATAAATTCTACAGAGCATTAGTCAATCCCAATGACATCTCTATAAACTCTTAATGACTATATCTGGTTATGAAAATTGTCTTAAGAACATTTTCTTCTTTAATCTTTAACTGATGATATCTAGATCAAAGATTAATCTTTGAAAATACTAAAGCACCTTTAAGTTGCTTATTTAAATCATCGGTCCTCAGAAGAGGGTATTTATTCTTTATCGTTACTTTATTCAACTGTTGTTAATCCACATATAACCACATAGATCCATCTTTATTTTCAACAATTATTACCGATGCACCCCACAGTGACACCCTTGGTCTGATAAAATCCTGATTAAATAATTCCTATAACCATGCCTTTAACTCTCTAAAGTTTATTAAAACTATTCAATATGAAGCCATCGATATAAACGCAAGGACCATAAAATATTAATCTTAATTTCCACCTCGTAATCAAGAGGTAATCCAAGAAATTTCGTTAGGAAACACATCCAAAAATTTCTAAACCATCAAAATATCTATCATTCTTAACTTTAGACATTTAAGTGTCTATCACATTAGCCAGATAAACTGAACAATCTTTTTGAATCTTCATCAGACAAATTCTCCTTATCCGTTTTACTCTGTATTGTGACCTAGCAAATTTGTCACTACCATCCCTATTCATGAATTCTAACAGAACATATTTTTCTCTAAATAATTTCATACTAATATAATAATAAGTAGAACCTAAATCGAATAGAGTTAATACAAACTCATATTCTATTATCATTCCACTTAACTGATGGTAACTTATATATGACCAAATGAAATCGTCTTTCTTTATAGTTTTAGCGGACAATTTATTTACCACTTATCTTTACTCTTTAGCCTTAAGGATTTAGTCTTTAATCTAACACTACATATTAACTCAAATCAAACATTTCTTCAAGAAACTTAATACTTAACTTATATACTTTTCAAAATTTAAACCTACATGTAGAAACCTCATAATCATCAGTAAATTCAATAATCTCTGGATCTTCTTCAGTCTCAATTTCTCTTATACATCTTCTGAACTTTCTGATAGATTTCTCTAATTCACTAACTTCATTAAAAGGTGGAGCATTTCTACCATAAAATGGAGGATAATCACTTACAACTCCAACTCTTTTAGGACGAGATATTAAAGTCCTCTCGGGCCTATTTGAATCGATTTTGATATTCTTTTGAACATTTTCAACTTTCTTGCCATTATTCTTAACTTCCGACATCTAACACATATATTTCAAAATTATGTAAGTAAGGAGCTACATCATCAATAAAAATCTCCTTACTATACCAGATCAGTAATATCGACATCCTAGTGGCATGTACACATTTTCAACAAAAAATAAGTTAGGTTTAGGCCGAGAATTGACTAAACCGACAGCTCTAATACCAATAAATGTAACATCCATAACTCTTATACATCTTGAAATACGAGTTAAAAATGTTACTTTAACATTTCACACATTCGTTGAACATAATTGCTTGAAAAATTTGTTCCACTGTACAAAATTCGTTTATCAACTTTGAAACTATTTTATCAATCACATAATTCATAAAATAATATTTAATAGTTTAAAAAAAAAATCAATTTTAAGTAGCAGTTAGGCAATTTAGTGCTGTTTCATAAACTATAGAAAAATGTCTAAACACTGCTTAATTTGAAAATCATTTTAAAATGTAAAACATATATAATATTCATGTATAAAAACGAATATAAGTAAATCTGCCCAGATAAAATAGTCATAGTTTACTATTACAAGCCCTTTTAAAATAAATTTGATAAAACAAACTAACAGATATAATATACATACGAATAATAAGTCAAAGATAAGATGTCTTACTGATATTGATATTAGGTACGATTTTTTGAAAAGAGGCTCAAGAGGCTCCTCTTCAAGTTCTTTTCTATATCCGAACCTACGCATGAAAATCATCATGCGCTAAGTAAAACTTAGTGAGGCAATAATACAACTAAGGTGAGATAAAACATAAAATATCATAAATACTTTAAAACATAAAATAAATTCTAAATAAAATTATTGAACTTTTAAACCGAGTTATTAAAGCCATTTTTCCTCATCAGAAACCTGAAAATCATCATCTCATGATTTTATTAAAAATCATGATAAACATTATTCGACATAATAATCATTTCATATTTATTTTCATTTGAGATACATTTTAGAGCTTTCATATTCACTTTCAAGATCTATTTTTCATTCAGACACATTTCAGAACTTTCATATTTTATTTTCATATTCTTTTCTTTTCATATAAGAACTTTCACATTTATTTTCATAGCCTAATGTATATTTAAGAGAATACAAGACATGAGTAAGACATATGTGCGTACTAAGAACTTCAAGGTGCTATCATCAGAATCAGAATATGCACTCCAAGGGCAATCATAACATTTGCACCAACGGTGCCATTCAGAATGTACACGAATATACCAAATCATAATCAAAATTACTCAATTTAATGGCATGGCAAATGTACCTACGAAACTCAATGCAACATACAATGAGCTTTCAGATTATATCATATTCATTTATAATTCAACATTCCAATTCAGAATTATTTTTCAATCATTATCATAAAAATCATATTTTTGGCAATTCATATACTAAAATAATTCAAAAAATATTTCTGAATTCATTAAAGGAATATTTCATCATTAAATATACGAATCATACTTTAAAATCACTTTAGAAATTTCCTTCGAACATAATTTTAGAAAAGTATCATTTAATACATATTGGGTAATTTCATACCCAAAATAATCATAATTCTTTTATATGACATTATGGGATATCTATCAATGAAAATAAAATCATGCTTCTAAAATAATATGAGGTTGACTTATCGCAAGTCTTCCTCGATCAGAATAATTAAATAAATAATTGCACTCACCTTTACATCACTATCGAATCTTTTATACGATAATCTTTTTAATCTCATACCATCCTTCCCCTTTGAATCACTCGGATTTCTAAATTTTTGGTGGTCTGGTCATCATCATAAAATAATACAATATACAATACACAAGTTAGTATTACACTAACATAATCTAATTCCGAAAAATATTTTCTATAAAACATAATCGATACTAAGTAGATATAAAACTAACTAATAATCCCATCATAACTTCAAACTTCTCAAAATAGCTATTCAATTCCATAAATATTCATTTTCATCTTCGATACTTCAACTTTCACAATCTTTGCATTTAAATCACTGCTTATGAATTTTATTTAGAATTCATATCAATATTTCCATTTCATTCATAATGGCCCTTCACCATTATGACCACTTTTAATTAATTACTAAAATTTACAGAACCTTAATAATATACTCAAACCAACACTTCAACATTTAAGAACTTGCAATTTCATCCTTAATTACTACCATAATTCAATTTCAACCATCAACCTTAGCAAACTTGCATTTTGATCCCAAACCAAAATTTAAACTTAAAAATAGGCATGCTAATATAATTTCCAGTATTGAATTCATACTCAATTGATGCCTTTACATTTTAAAACTTATAATTAAGTCCTTGAATTTCAAGACTTTTCGAATTCCATTACCCAACTTATCAAATTTACACTTTAATCCTCAAATCAACATTCTAACTTAAAAGTAAGCATTCCATAATTTAATCTCAGCCTTGAATAACCCAAATTACACCATTTTAAATTAAGTCCCTAACCTTTCCCATAATTTCTAGTTAATTCTCAAACTTTACCAACTTTCCAAAATGATCCAATTTCACCTTCTAACACCAAATTCAACATTCTAACATCAAATTCCATCATAGTACGACAACTATTTAACAATTACACATCAACCACCATAATTTTTATAATTACCAAATAGGTCCTCTAACTTTCACAAAATTATAAAATTACTCAACAACTTTCTAAACCTTGTAAAATCCTTCTTACATTATTTCCAACCCTTATAAAAAACTTTTCCATGATTTTTATCTTTCTTTAACGCCATGGTCGAATATATTAGGGTATGATTTCAATGGTTTCTGACTTGCTTCAAACATGAAATCAACCTCTAATCAACATTTTAAAGCTTCTATTATTAAACCCCTAACATAATTTAATCAAATCACAAACTCCCCAAAATCCTAGGTAATATTCGAATATCATATAGACTTCTACGCATACTTTTAATCATCATACATGCTTTTGAATTAATCTACAACATCAATAACAGAAAAATTTTCCACCAAATCTTCAAAATCAAACATATATTTCATATACCCAAATATTCAATATCACAATTCAAGCATGTTCTCCATGTAATTTTTATACCAAATGATAGAGAATTTCATGTAAATTAATTCTCTATCTAATAGCTTAATCCAAAAATCAATCATATAACTTCAAAAATCAAATTAAAAATTTACCTTACCTTGCTATGGGAGTTTCGACCAAGCTTGAATAAGATAGAGAAGTCTTGTCTTTTCTATAATTATCATCTAAATCACTTGGACTAATATTTAATTTAAATGAATTTAAAATTCATTTAATGAGAATATCCATTTTTACCATTAATGAAACTTGACACTTTCATCCATTTTCCACTCCATGACATCATTCCTTATATCATCATAACCATAAAAATATCAAACTCTTGATTTTCCATGTTTACCCTTGTAATTTTTAAAAATTATGATTTAGTCACTAATTTCCCAATTTCGGTTAAATAGGATAAATTAACTTCAATTCCACTGATCCACATTAAATTTTATTATTATAAAATATGGAAATAATATTTTCAACTTTTGTCTAGCATCCTTCAAATTTTCGTGAAATTCTGATTCAATTTGATTATCCGATTTCTTATCTGACTTTACTACTTTATAGCTTTTAATACAAATCCCTTATAAAATTCTAATTCCCACAAAAATTATGGTTTTATGAAAAACTATTCATTTACAAGCCAAAATATATAACTTTTTAAAATTATATTTTTAGTCCTTGAACTTTTCAAAAATTTTAATTTGACCACTAAGCTTTTAAAACTTATGTTTTGTTCATTACCCAAATTTTGGGATATTACAATTTTGATCTTACAAAATAAATAGAGATAACCACAGTTGAGATTAATTATTTAATGGTGTTATGTCGATGACGCATGTGTCTCGACTTACCATTATATATTGCATTATGTGCTCTACCAATTGTTGCTTTGTTATCACAATATATGCATATTTTGGACACATGCTTTGTCCATTCAGGAATATCCTCCAAAAATTTCGTAACAATTTTGCCTCTTCTCCATATTTATCTAGGGCTATAAACTCAGATTCCATCGTGGATCTGGTTATAATTGTTTATCTTGAGGATTTCTATGATAAAACTCCTCCCCTCAATGTAAAAATATAACCACTTGTGCCTTTGATATCTTGAATATAAGATATCCAACTGGCATCAGAGAATCCTTCTAACACAGTAGGATCTTTAGAATAATGCAATTTATAGTTTCGAGTATATCCGAGATATCTCAATACTATCACAATCGCTTTCCAGTGATTCTTCCCTGGATTACTTGTGAATATACTTAAACTGGTTACAAGGAAAGCAATATCATGTCTAGTGCAACTCATAAGGTACATTAGACTGCCTATTATTCTTGTATATTCCCTTGGTTAACACTTTCACCTTTATTTTTAGACAGATGCTGACTTGTATCTATCGAATTTTTGGATACACCAAAATCATCCTTGACAATTTTTTCTAGAATCTTGTCTATATAGTGCGACTAAGTCAATATAAGACCTCCAGATGACCTTTTGATTTGGATGCCCAAAATCATGTTAGGATGTTAGCAAGTCCCATATATTTCATGTCAAATTTTGAATTTAACATGTGTTTGGACATTTTATCATTTCATTATTACTTCCAACGATAAGTATGTCGTCAACATATAAACATAAGATTACATATCCATCAACAATGGTTTTGACATACACACATTTATCACACTCATTAATTTGAAATCCATTTGATATCATGACACTATCAAACTTTTCATGCATTTTCTTTGGTGTTTGTTTAAGTCCATATAGTGACTTCACCAATCTACATACTTTCTTTTCTTTTCATGGAGCTACATATCCTCAGGTTGTTCCATGTAAATCTCTTCATCAAGGTCTCCATTAAGGAAAACAGTATTAATATCTATTTGATATACTTTTAAATTT